ATTGCCTACATTCATAATTGAAAGAAATGTTAAATTCCAGTGAGAGATTATTGAAAAGAAAGATGTAATTTTTTCCTCATCCATGCTCATGGACTCTCATATGTTAGAATTCCCCAGATGAAAGCTTACAGTACAAACACATAGGTCTTTATTGGCCTGGTTTGGGTAAAGCAATAGTAATATATATTACTTGTTTAGGAAATGTGTGTCTATATTCCCCCCTGTGTTATTGATACAACTTACATAAATCTTTATAATGCTGAACTTACACAGAAAAAGCAATGATTTCTGTTATACATTTTAAAATTATTAATGGAATTGTCAAGGGCAATTAGTAAAGTGTTGAACTTTTTGTAGACCTCATAACACAGGGGGAGAATATTAGAGAAGTAAATGACAAAGAGGTAAAAGAAAAGGGAATTGAGTGTATCTGGATGTTTTATTAGAACAGTGAAGGCCTAAATTCAATAGTAGTTAAGAAGTGGTCTAGAGATTTCATATACAAAGATGTTCACTAATCATTGTTTCCAAACGTTGTTCTATTGAACAGCATGCAGATCTGGGTTTGAACAGCATGCACTACAGAGCTAGACATAGATAGAGCTTGAGAAAGCTGAGTGAAATAAATATCAGCTAGAAGGAGCTTGGCTCGAGAAGAGAAGAGAGGGAAAGAAGTTGGGCCAGGATCGTGAGGGTAAGGAGTGGAGTTAAGGCTGAGAAGAAATGAGGTTTGGGCCAGCCCAAGTGGCCTACTGGTTAAGTTTAGTGTGCTCCCCTTTGGAGGCCTGGGTAGCATTTGAGACTTTATAATATATCCCTGACCTCCAAGCTAAACTGTTCACTATTTTCTAGACTTCTTAGTTGACTTTCCCAACAGCATACTGTATCTTTCTTAATGTTCTTCTCTTCATCTCCACTTACAAAAATCTTACTCATTCTTCAAGATGAAGCTCAAATGTCAGTTCCTTGAAGTGTTTTCTAATGGACACTCTCTAGTTAGAACTAATTTCCACTCCTCTAATTTTGTCTCTCCTTTCATCATACCACCATACCACACTATGTCCTTCGTTGGGTTGGGTGTGTAAATGACTGATTGGAGTGACTAAATCTTTATGGCAAAGATCACAAGTTCCTCATGTTTGATGTTCTCTGTAGCATTTAGCATCATGCTTAGAATATAGTAGGTATTTAATAAATGTTTACATATTATTGGAGATATCTCATCAATATAAACCAAATCCAATGATTCTGTACCATTCATGGAACCATGTTGCTCCTGACCAGTAGAAATGCCCAGGATGAAGATGTAATCATCTACTCACTATATGTCAGCTCCAGAAGTGACCTCACCAGCCATGCACTCCTTTGTTGGGTTTTAATGATGACAAACCTGTCCAGAAACAGTCCAGAAAAACTGTGCTTGTTACCCAAGATCACAGAGCCTAAAAAATAATGTGGATTTCCTAATATTCAGTCCACCAATCTTTCGGCTTCACCATAAAATATATTAAGAAGAGAAGACAACAGAAACTCTGGATTGAAAGACCATAATTCCCACCATGTTAAATTTAGCTCTTAGGAAGTTTTTGTGGGTTTTTTTAGTAGCTACAAATTAAAAAGAAATGGAGAAATAAACAAAACGGTAAATGACATGTCACAGGAAGAACTGCAACCGTCCTGAAGTTGAAGGTGACAGATATCAGTGATCAAGCTGTAGAACTGAGGAAGGCAGAAGAAGTAATGTGGGGGTAGGAGCTGGGAGAGTTGAGTAGAGAGGAGAAGAGAGGCTGACGTGTCACCCTGATGTCTCAAAAGCCTTGGCGTCATCCCTAACTCTCCTTTGTCTCACCCCCTCATGTAGTAGCCCATCAGCAAGTCCCATTGGCTCTACCTTCAATATACAGCCAGAATTTGACCATTTCTCACCATCTCTACTGTCATCTCTTGTCTAGATTCTTGCAATATCCACCTAAATTGTCTCCACTTCTGCCTTTGCAGTTTATCCTCAGCACAGAAATCAGGGTGACCCAGGCGAAATGTCTGCAAGATCACATCAGTTCTCTGCTTGGAGCCCTCTAATGTCTCTCCACTGGCTTCAAGATGAAAGTCAATGTCTTCACCGTGGCGTACAAGGCTTCCATGATCGCCCCCTCACTCCCCGTTCACTCTAACCTCATCTCCCACTATCACATTCACTCACTCAATTCCAGCCACACTGACCTCCTCTCTACCCTCTAATCCAGGCCCACCGCTGCCTCTGGGTCTTTGAACTTCTCTTCTGAGCCAAGGAAGAGCCTGGCCAGTGCCAGAGGCTAGTTCAAAAGTCAAGTTCTCAGTGAGAACTTCCCTGGCCAGATATCTAAATCCCCCTCATGATTTGTTTCCCTGCTTATTCTTTCTTTATTCTCATTAGGGTTTAGCACTAAATGTTTTACTTATTTCTCTTTACAGTCCGATGCCCAAATAAAATGTTAGCTCAATGGGAGATTTTTGCCTTTTTCACTCTTTTTTGATCCCTGATAGATCACTGATATATCTTTTTTGATTACTGAATGCTGACTATCCAGTAGGCATTGTATAAATAGTCATTGAACAAACTAATGAATAAATAAATGCACAAGTCACTTTTAATAGGCTCTTAACATATTAAGCCTTGCACCTGCCTAAAAAAAACTTTGCTCATACTCTAAAATCATTTTAAACTAAACTAAACAAATTCTCTAAAGGGTAATTAGGATTTTTTCTTCCAGAGACAAATTAGACAATTTCCTACTAACTAAAGAACTCCCTACATGATCACTGGAATTTATGAAGCACACCAAACTGTCAGATTGCACATAAGAGGAGGTGTGTGTGTGCAAAAAAGGGGACAAAAGAGTCATGGGTTTTGGAGAAAGACTAATGTCCTTCAGACCTGAAGATTGGTAAAGGCATGATTGGTGGGCACCAAACTATTTGGTCACTGAGAAACTACAATTAAGAGTTTTGCCAAAACCAAAATACGAGCTAAAGAAATCTCCAAAAAGACAAGAAGCTACTCTCTGGAACCCAGAAGTTGTCCTCCAGAGTCTTTGGAACTTTGGGTATGATTCTCCTTCTAAGATCAACTCTACAACGTTCCATAATATTCATTTCAGAAATTCTCTGTAAATTTCAGGCATCTTTATGATCCAAACTTAGTGAGAGTGTATTAATCATGGATGGTACGTAGAACCTAGAAATAATATATTTTATAAATATTATTGACTAATACTGAATAGAACTTTACAGGGCATTTTAATATGTATTATTTTTGAAGTATGTGAACTCTATTTCTATATTTTACCTTCCCCTCAATCTTTACTACTCACTTTATCTGTGTTTTCCCTGATTATGAATTTTATCTATTTTTGTTTAAATCATATATGGAACAAGGCAAAATGAGCTAGCTAGCTAAATACCGTGGGTGTATATGTACGAGGTTTCATTATCCATATTGTGCAGGTAAGGAAACTGAAACTCAGAGAATTTAGATGAATATGTCCAAGGCCACACACCTCACTAAATTATGAAGCTGAGACATATCAGGAATGATCTGACCCATGCCTTGTCTACCAAACCACACTTCTTTTCTGCAATATGCCATCCAAGCTAGTGTAACGCTTTGACCAAAATGCTAATCCAGTATAAAATATCCCCTTGTATTGTGCTCATTTGCACAAGGCAGTCCCTCCGGTTGTGGTAAGAACTCCAAGTTTTCATACGTGAACGTGGGTTGACCAGTCAGGTTGGCCTCTGTACTTATTCCTGTGATGAACCCAATGCTTTGCACAGTGGAATTCATCTTGACTGACAGCATAGCCACGTGAGTGCACACACACTCATGGAATGCCTCATCTCTCGACCTGGTGCTCTGCCCGTTCTCTAGCCCTCACCATGTGGGCTCCTTATCTGCCACTATTACCATTTTAGAGATTTATTCTATTGTTTCCATTATTCCAAGTTCAAAAAGTGATGACACGTGTTTAATGCTTCATGTGGAAACATCAAGCTCAATATCAAAAAAACTAAATAAATTAATGCCCACGAAAATGTAAAATTTTAGTGTCAACATTTATAACTCAAAAAACATGATTTTTGCAGCATCTTGGAATATTGGTTCAAGTGATCACTCAAAAATCACACCTAGCTAAACCACTCTAGCAGAATACCTAAGCAGTGTGTACCTGTGGATAGATATTTTATTGCCACTTACCTCTAAATTTATGGTTCTCAGTCTCACTGTACCTCAGAATCACCTGGGGAGCTTAAAAAATTTTGATGACCAAACTCCATGCCAAACCATTTAAACTAGAATTTTTGGATGTGGGTTCAGCTGAATTTCAGTGTTAGTTTCCTTATTTGACGATGGATAATTAAGTAAGCTACAGTAGCTATGAAGAATCGAAATCAAACGGACACAAATGCTATACAGGTAATTTTAGGCCCATATTGAGAACTACTGCTTTATTCTAGATGAATATGAACTCCAACAGGCATGGATTAGTAAGATCAGCCTCTTTCTCAGTATTCTGAGAGTCCTCAACCTGACCTTGCTCTACTCAATGGAATCATTTTGATCCAACGTGAATATGAACTAGAATGTGTACATTATATTAATTCCACCTGTATATAGACGGTCAAGTGATTGCAATGCTGGAAAGAAAAGTTCAGCTCTCGCTGCCTTGGAAAATGCCCAACAATCTGTCCTGCAGAAAGGTTGAAATGTCAAATAATGTAGCTTCCTACAAAACTGAATTAGAGCATGACCTCAAATGTTAATATATTCAGATCTTTCCTCTGCCCTTAGAAGGTCAAATACTCACAACAGTCATAAAATCTACACTGCCCTATCCTCCCAGGATTTCTGAGGCTGCAGCAACAAATTACACAATTAAAGAAAAAGAAATCTCCTATTGAAGGAAAGTTACAGTCGAAGAGGAAGGAAGACTTTACGAAGATGCAGCTCAACAGAGAAATGTGTCCTTGATACCATATTAATGTTTAATGGTTGTGCCATTCTTTACAACTTACAACAGTCTTTTGCCTCTGTCAATTGACTGGATCCTCACAATAGTTGTACTTGGTGACTAGTACTCCCATATTTCCATTTTCTATAAAGGAAATAGAGATTACAAGAGGTTAAGTGACTCATCCAATGTCAACAGCACAGCTAAGACCTGAACTCAGGTCTTGTTCAGGAAATCTTGAGCCCTTCCGAGTGCCTTTCCCTATGTGTGGGAAGGCGTCAATGCTTCTGGAACAGGTTTTCTGTTAGATACTACCTACAATAACACTTCCTTCCCACACCACGTAAATGCAAAATCTGTTTTTAAATTTTATCAATACATTATACCACTCATAAGTCAGAAGGAATAAATTCATCCACTAAAATAATGTTTTTCATTAGAGATTATTGAGCATTTTCTATTCTTTATTTTCATTCACAACAGTTTATAACCAACAGCTGCACCGTAGAACCAGTTTGGGGCAGATTCCTTAAATGCCAGATAGAAATTTTTTTGAGACTATTTTTCTCAGTATTGTCTCTACAGTCAGTCAAATAAACTGTAATAACTATGAAAAATCTAGCCAAACATGAATGCAATCATCCCCGGAGACAATTCTGAGTCAAATGAAGAGGCAGACAACTAAACGAAAGACATAAGAACTCTCTGGCTTTTCACCTAAAAATCCGACATGACAAAAGATATACTAATGGTAACCCACATAAAAGGCAGTACTTTGAGCAATAGTGATGAATATGAAACCCAGTCAATGCCCCATTTTAAATAACATCTGTGACTCTTTGTAATCCATAATAATAAAATTACTCTTTTTGGTTTGTGTTCTTCTGTAGAGGAGAAGGGGGAAACAGCGCTCAGAGCAACAAGATGGCAGGAACACCCTCTCCTTTCATATTAATCCCCAAAATAGCAGTCAATTTTCACAGAATCAAACAGCCAAATGAAGACTGGACAGAATACAAAACCAGGGGCAACAGAAAAGCAGATGCTTTGGCGAGAAGGCAGCCGATAAATGTTGGTTTCCCAGGATTTTGATAGCAGGAGTGTTTATCTTATTGAAAGCAGAGTCTAATTGAATAAAAGAGTTTTTAAAATAGTGGGCCATTAATTAGACGGCATGGGGTAAAGCATGGATTCAGTAATGTAGGAGGCTTCGGGGAGCCACAGGCAGCTCTCATCGATTCTGTCAGGGTGCCAGAGGAACAAGAGAGCCGAATGTTTTGCCTCTTCTGGAAACCTACCTGATACATTTGGAAGTGGCTTCCCCATGCATTGCCTCTGTTCAAATCATCCCATAATTACTCTGGCACTGTAAGCTGCGAACTTGGCGGGCTCTGAGAGATATCAGATGTTTTTCTCATGCTTGCTGAACCTCTCTTAGACAAATTTTGCATTGTTTTTTGTGTCAGTTTTATCGTGGAACATCGTGTTGCCATCTGGGAAGAAAAACAACATGGTAGAGGAGCAGCTGGTGAATGGCAATGGCCAAATAAACATTGGCAGGCACCCGCCATTAGGTGAGATAACAGGGATGGGTGGCCGCCAACACCAACGATCCCTCACCGCTGGAACATCTTTCACTGTCCCCTTCTCTCTTATCTTCATTCAAATTCATGGCAATTTTTCATTCAGAGGCTCAAGCTCTCCAAGTGTCAGGTGTTGGGCTTTCCCATCTCTATCCTGGAGGAACAAGATAGGGTGGGGAACAAGTGCCCCACCAAATGAATTTCTCTCCCTGGGCACGACAATGGGCTTCCTGAAGCAAGGAAGAAGCTTCTGACACCTTAGCAGAAAGGCTGCCCTGAGGAATGGGAGGATACCAAAACCCTCACCAAGCTTTCAACCAATTTGGCAGCCTTTATTTTGGTCACTTCCAGCATCACAGGTATTTGTGGCTTTCAAATCTTTAAATCTTTTAAGGACCATATATATGGTAAACAAATATAAATAATACTAAGAGGCAGGACAGCAAGGGCAAGTAAGTTACATCTGATTAACAAGGTTATACCTCATTCTTTCTTATTTCGAAGATATAATTTTTCCATTGCAACATTTCTGAAATTGAGATGCATAGATGCCTAGAAAAATGTCTGACGACCTCCAAGCAGCTGAGGAAGTTGTGAAGTGCCAACAGTCATTATTGCTGCACGTGTACAAACTGGTGAGCTTTCATCCAGCCACTCAGTTGTGTTATTTCTATTGTTGCAACCAACACGGTTGAATTTTTAACTTAAATTTGGATTGCAAGTCGTGGCTTAAAATATCTTCAAAAGATTATATTGTAAGAGAGCATTAATTTTTTTTAAGTTGTTCAGTTTATAGGAATTTCTTACAGGCAATATGATCAGAAGCTTTAGAAATTGCTGAATCACTCAAAATAACTCGAAATTTTTAATTTAGTAGAGGTTGGAACAATGAGCATATGTGTCATGGAGACTGACCTTCAGCTAGAACATCTATCTGACAAAACCTTCTGACTGACTTTCAATACACAATTCAATTAAGGGAAAATTATATATATACCACATATATAATATATTCAATATATTATATACGTTCAATATATAATTCAATTAAGGGATATTACATATAATGTAATTAATATAAACTTTATATATATTTACCTTAATTAAATTATATGTTGACTATAATATATATTGAACATGTATTTTATATATATATTTCATATATAAATCAATTTAGGGAAAAGTTTTATATATATAATATATATAGTGAGTATATATTAATTATATATATATTGTTTTTTCAGGTATATATGAATTTAACCAAAAAGGAAATCGAAATTCAAATGAAAATCCTGGAATTCTCAGTAAGATTATACTCTAAGTCCTAAAAAGGGTGAGGTTACAAGCACGAAGAGCAGTGTACACCCCGCCCATTTATAAAGGCCAGTGGCTAAGAATCTTTGAATGCTGGAGTGTAAAAGGCTTAAACACAAAGTGATAGTTACAAAATGACATGAAATTATATGCAAAATTGATTATAAAGAAAAATCATACATAAAACCTATGTATAGGTGCTGACCCTGTGACCGAGTGGTTGGGCTCGCACACTCTGCTCCTGCAGCCCGGGGTTTACCAGTTCGGATCTTGGGTGTGGACCTACACAGGGCTCACCAAGCCATGCTGTGGCAGGTGTCCCACATAGAACTAGAATGACTTACAGCTAGGATATAAGACTATGTACTGGAGCTTTGGGAGGGAAAAAGAAAACAAAAAGAATCTATGTGTAGTTATTATACTGTTTCTTCTACCACCAAAAAAAAAAATTGATGGTGATGTTAGAGGAAATATGCTAACTTTCCAAATTTTGTTGGGGAGCACGTAATTTGTCACTTCGTTTTAAATGTAAGGTCCTAAGAGCCCACAGCTCACTTTTGACAGAACTCAAACTAGAAATTATGAGCAAAGTGGGGGGACTTCATAAAAGGGAGAATGGGACAACGCGACACTAAATGTCACACTCTAACCTATGGGATATGTCAAATTAGGACTAGCCAGTAACTCTCCTTAAACAACATTAGAACAAGTTTTCTGGAAAACTCCTTGCTACCAAATCCATCCTCATTTATAAGTCTATGATTAAATATGATCAGAAAGATAGCTGGCAAAATCTAAGAGAGACCAAAACATAAAGAAACTTCTAAAAGCCTGTTTAGATTCATTTCAACATTATTCATGAAAAAAGTCAGTCACTCGGAATGTTTCAATACATAATATTATTTGTGTGTAGCCACATTCTTTTGTTAATGTGCTATTCATTCTTTTGAAATCTTCCAGGTAAGAACGTGACAATTGTTATTACCCTGATTTGAGCTCCAATGACATAAATTGAGTCAGTCTTTCATTATATTGTTAATTCAGAAATTTTGAGATCATAATCTATTAGTCCAAAATCCTTAATCTGGGAACTCAATAAGATTTTTGCCCACAGACCACTCTTAATCAACTTTTATAAGAAATTTTACCCTAGAGCAGCAGGGAAATACGTTCTGAAGTAAACCCAGTATTGGCTAAAAGAAGCTGCAGGCATTTCTTCTTCCCTTCTTGAGCATCTACTATGGATGTAACAGTAGATGGACTCTGTAATGAGACCAAGAAAGGTCATTCTTGGCCCCATTTTACCGATGGAGAAATTGAAGCTTAGAAATGGTAAATAATTTGTCCAAGTTCAAGCAAAAACCCAGAGAATCTGTCTCTAAGGCCTATGACCTTAACTGTTACACTGTGATGCAAGGTGTTCAATATTTAAGTACCAAATCAGTAGCATATAACTGCTATTGTGATTTAGAAGTCAGTTAAAGTAGGTCAGGTAGGTTTCCTAGAAGAGCTGGAAACTCAATAGGGCCTTGTGGGATAAGTAAGCTTGGTAAAAGTAGATTTTGTCAAAGAGTCAGCAAATAAGCAAATAAAACTGAAAAGACTATTGGAGGGAATAGCTGGAGTTTCATAAAAGGCCTGTAAGAGAAGAAACTGGAATTGGAATTACATGCTGGCCAAGGCAGTGCAAATCAATTTGTAAACGATGGATGTCTCGCTGGAAGGCTTCCAGGGAGACATGGCAATACAGACAGGAAGTAGCCCCCACAGTGATGAGTAAGTCAGTGCCTTCCTGAGAAGGGTAATAGCCTCACTGTTCACTGGGGCCCAGATGACAGAATGCGAGAAGGCGACAGAGCTAATATGATCATTGCATGAAAAATTAGAGCATATAATCACATGGATATTTTTCACCCCAAAAGACAGGATCTTGTCACTTAACAGGATCAATGAAGAAAGAAGCATATCCTTGGCCACTAAGAAGCACCGGGAGCAGCTGTATCTCTGCCTTATTGAGAGTGAGGTGATTTTGACACGGCTACAGGTTTATCTTCTGACCCACCAGAAGGTCCCTGTTAGCAGCAGAATTTCATCGGAAGAGTAAAACATAATCATGAAGTACCCCAAGCTCCAAGGATGCAACCACAGGGCTATGTAAATTAAAAGGCTATGTAAATTAAAACTCAGGCTTTCAGGAGCCCAGCCTTCGACGTCTAGGGTAGGAAAAGCTTGTCACATCGACATTAACAAAAGGGGCACAGTGAGTCAGAAAACCTCAGCCGAGTGTCCTATCACCAGTATAAACCAAAAAAGATTCTACCATTGCACACTTACCAACAAAGCCAGGCCTGGGATGGGACGTGGGTATTGGGGGTGGGGGTCCTTGCCACAACGTGGGCATAGGTGGGAACCCTAAAGGCTACAGAATCTGTTTAAATATAGAAGACAATTTACTCTGACCTCTAAATGGACTGCATGGGGCAATGTCAAGTGCCTTAGGCCCTCAGAGAGGGAACCTAAACTTTGGGAAAGCAAATGAAAAAAACATAAGAACCATTGGACCCGACAATGAACTCCTTAAAGAAGGGGATAATATTTTACTTATATTCCCAGTACCAAGCATGAAGCCCAGCATATATTAAAAGTTTAATAAACATTTGGTGGCTAAAAAGAGGCATGATGTCCCTTCTAAAACTCTGTGAGACACACTAGAGACAGAATAAGCCTTACCAAGGGATAAAATGGACATCAGTTAGATGATATTATCTGAGCAGGGCAGGAGGCCCCCTCTTTCACTGAACTTCTCCAGCAGCCCTCATGGCAGGCTCACATGTGGCCATTAGAGGATCATTCTCAGTGGGGGTGGCAAGCTTATGAAGGACTAACATTGAACTGATGTCACTCTATGAAGCATTACTGGCATCAGTAGCCTGTTCTGGAGATGTCAAAAGCAAGTGAGGACAGAAAAGAAAAAGAAAAAGAGAAAAATAAAGTGCTGAAAAGAAACCACCTACTTAATTTCCCTTGAACTCCAAATAGAGAAGACCGTACCGTTTGTAACATACATGCACCGTATTTGAAAGCAGTAGTAACATTTGCCTTCTCTATCCCTAAGCCTGCCCCCTACCCCCTTTTGTACTCTGTCTTTCCTTTCAATTGCTCCTTAAGCTGAGCTCCAGGAGAACCCATGTGCACAGGCTCTCAGTAAAAATAGGCTCAGTCAAGGTAAGTAAAACTCCTGGCTCTGGGTCTTTCTATCCCCTTTCATTCAGGCTACCTGTCATTTATTTGCTCCATCAAATATCAAAGCCTATTACATAGCTACAATAACTAAAATGCTATGGTGATCCAGCTATTCCACTGCTGGGTATTTATCCAAAGAACTTGAAAACGCAAATGCATAAAGATACATGCACCCCTATGTTCATTGAAGCCTTATTCACAATAGCCAAGACTTGGAAGCAACCTAGGTGCCCATCAAGGGATGAATGGATAAAGAAGATGTGGTATATACACACGATCGAATACTACTCAGCCATAAGAAATGACGAAATCCAGCCATTTGTGACAACATGGATGATTTTGAGGGTATTATG